TAGTAAGGCTAGGGTGGGGCGTGGGCGGCTCCCATGCACCTACTTGCCAGGAGCACACTCTGCCTTACTGGGCCCTCCCTCTGCAACCTCCTCAAAAGTCCTCCCAAGGGGAGAATGCTCTGGAAAAAAACAGAGGCAGGGTAAAAGCTGCCTATCTTTCTTGGAGGGTGAGGCGTGAGAGGTGCAGCCAAGGGCTGCTGAGGCCTGGCCTTTGTGAAGGGTGGGCAGTGTCCATACCGGTGGATGGGGTCTGGGCGGGGGAAGTGAGGGAGTGCTACAGGGTGAGCACACCGTGGGCTTCCTTTCCTTTTTTCAGACCCAATTTTTTAAAATATGCAATTTATTTAAAAAATGCAATTTAGGGGCGCCTGGGTGGCTTAGTCGGTTGAGCGTCCGACTTTCGCTTAGGTCATGATCTCGCGGTTCGTGAGTTCGAGCCCCGCGTCGGGCTCTGTGCTGACTGCCAGCTCAGAGCCTGGAGCCTATTTCAGAGTCTGTCACTCCCTCTCTCTCTGACCCTCCCCTGCTCGCGCTGTCTCTCTCTCTCTCCTTGATATAAAAATAAAAAAATATAAAAAAATAAAATAAAATAAAAAATAAAAAATGCAATTTATTTTCATGGAGAAGGAAAGAGGAAGAGGAAGGAGGAAGGGATAGATGGAGGAAACAGTAAAACATCTTCCTGACCTTCATGTGCCGGGCCCCAGGACCCACCCCCTCCACTTTGTACTGTTATAGTGCCTTGTAACATTTTGTTTTGTTTTAAAGTTTATTTATTTTGAGAGAGAGAGAGAGAGAGAGAACACAAGCAAGGGAGGGACAGAGAGAGAGGGAGAGAGAGAGAATCCCAAGCAGGCTCTGCGCTGTCAGCACACATGTGAGCACCCATCCTGGGGCTGAATCTCATGAATCGTGAGATCATGCCCTGAGCCGAAACCAAGAGTTGGACACTCAACCAACAGAGCCACCCAGGTGCCCCTGACTCTTTGTGCAAATACAGGTAAATATGAAAATCCAAGGGGAGAGAGCATTGTGAAAACCTTCCCTTTTACGTACGGGATTGGAGTCTTTTGGAACTTCTGCTTTGCCTGGGGGGAGGGGGGAGTAGATGCTGGTATCTGATGCCAATGTCTTGATGTTGAGGTCATCTTGATGACCACACCCCCAGCACAGCCCTGGTTAAGGAATGGATGGAATCTTCTCCCACTGGGACGGATTCCTTTTTGTCCTTCTGCAAAACCCTGCTCCCCTACCTGCTCCCCCCACCTCCATGTGTGTGCACGTGCATGCTTGTGTGTGTGTGTGTGTAAGTGCCTGGTTTTTGCTTCCTCTGTGGAAAGAGAGACTGAGCCCTGCCACATCGGGTCAGCCCCAAGGGGTCCACATCTGAACCCCAGCTGACCAGGATGCTTCCCTAACCCTCAGACCTGACAGCCCCTGGGCTCGGTGGGTGGCCTCAGGCCACTGCGCCTCGTCCCCCACCTCCTCTCCGTGAATCCCTGGGGCTGCCTGATGGACACGGGCATACCGTTTCTTTCTGGTGCCCAAGTACAGACTGCTACAGACACGTGAGTTTCTCTGTCCTGGGTCTCCGCTCAGCACTCACATCAGGGCAGGAGCCCAGAAGGTGTTTGCACAGTGAGAGGAGCTGGCTGGTCACCCAAATGTGGTCAGGCTAGAGGTGACAGTCCCTAGGTTGGCCCGAGGCATCTGTAAACCTGCCTGGAGAAGGGGATTCAGGAAGTCCGTCCCAGCGTCCTGGCTGGCAGGAGCCTTGAGTTCCGGACCCCGTGCCCTGTGGGCAGCAGACTTCATGGCCACTGGAACGCCCCAGAGGAGTGTTTTTCAGCCCAGGACAGTCTGCCCCCAGGTGACGCTGGGCAATGTCTGGGGACAGTTTTGGTTGTCACAACTGGGTGGGGGGGATACTGAGTATCTGGTGGGCGGGGGGCTAGGTCTGCTCAGCAACCTACAATGCACAGGGCGGCACCCACCGCAAAGAATGATCCGGACCCAATGTCCGTGGTTTGAGGCGGAGAAACTTCTGGAGGCGGACCCAAGGCAGTGACGGGACTCTCTGTGCCCGGGGCTCCACTGCACCCTCCCAAGCAAAGGTAATGAGTCTAACGGTCCTCCCGGAGGGGGTGCCTCCTCTTGGGGACAAAGACCTACTTGCCTGGGCCCAGGCTTTGTGCAGGGCCCAGAGACACCGGATGAACGCTGCAGGTACTGGCCTGGGTCTGGGGCTTAAGAGCCTGGGAGGGCACAGGGAAAAGGTCACAAAGGACTGCAGTCACCGGAGGGGGTGCGGAGCGGAAGCGGAGGCTCTGGGCCAGTCCCCCTGGCGGGGGAGGGACCAGGGTGACCGCCCACCCCCAGCTAGCGGCGGCAGCGGGGCCGGCCGGTCGGGGCCGGCTCGTCCCGGCGGAGGGGATCGGGTTGCAGGGACGTCGGGGCGGGGCGCAGGAGGCAGCCTCGGGTTGGCTGGGGGCTGGGGGCGGGCCCCCGCGAGAGTGACGTCAGAGCCCCGAGTCGGTCCCCACCCCCACTTCCCAGCACGCCAGGTGCGCGGGGGAACTGTGGGTTGCGTGCGGAGGCTGCGGGCTGGACTCCGGAGCCCGCGCCTTGCACGCCGCGCCCCAAGCCCCGGAGGGCAGGGCCGCCGCAGGAGCGCTCGGCCAACGACTCCCTAAAACCTTTGCTGGCGCCGTCGGATGCTGAGGCTGACGTCTTTGTCCTCGCTCTGTGCGAACCCCTGGCTTGGAGGGGCCTGGGGAGCGAGCGAAGAGCCACTGGGATTCGGCCCCCCGCATCTCTGTTCCAGGAACAGCCCTGCGTGCACCCAGTTCTGCGCTAGACCTTGAGGCCGCGAAGGCGCGCCCTCAGCACAGCGTGTGTTTGGGGGTCCCCTCTCAAACTGCTGGAGGCCCCAATCCCATGGCTTAAGCAGAGCTGGAGGCTCTGGGTCCGTTTTACAGATGAGGAAAGCGAGGCAGTCAGAGGAGCTAGTAAGAACTAGTCTTACCTGAGGAGCATGGAGCCCTGTTGGGGGAGTGGGGGTCGGGGCGCTGGTGGAAGCGTGATCCACCTGCCGAATGCCAACCCGTATGGATCCAGGAAGGAGCCCACTGTCACCACGTCCACTTCAGCCCTTGGGTCTGACTTGGCAAAGGAGGGGTTAGGCTCTGAGCCCCCAGAGGCCAGGGCTCAGATCTTGCTTCTGTCCCCGGAGTAAGAAGGAGCTCGATAAACATTTGCTGTCGACTGAAAGCAGTCCAATTCCCTCCTCTTCAACGTGGTTTCTTGACTTCCTGTGCTCCAGGTGACCCTCAGAACACCTTGATTGTCAACGACTACCAGTAGGGGTCTGTCCTTCTCCTTAGCATCCCCTTCCAGTCCTAGCAACTTGCTGTCCCACCCTCTCTGGGGACCTGGTGTAGAGGGGACAGCAGAGAAAAGTGGACCTTCCGGACGACAGCATTCAGTGAATCTGGCCTAGGAACCAGTGTGTCTGACCAGCAAATACTAGACAGCTAGCTCCTGGAGGCTCTGCCTTGGCTGTGACTCTCACAGAATGACCTTGAGGAGCGAGAACACTAAAAACCAACTCAGGGTATTCGCACTTCCATCTCACACGTGAGGAAACTGAGCAGCCCAAGGTCACATAGCTAGTTAAGCAAGAGATGGGATCCCAACCCAGAGCGGTGTGATACCTGGGTCATGCTCTTTGAAGAACTGCCTCCTGCTGACAGGGCAGCTGGTTTTTGGTCCTCATTTCCTTCCCGGCACCTCTGTCATTCACCCACACCGCACAGAGGGCCCCACCACCCCAGCCTCCACCCATCCGTATCCCTTCTTCAAGGAGACGGAGATCAGAACCGCGCCCTCAGCCCAAGGATGAGGATGAGGTCAGAGCATTACCCTGCTGGTACAGATACTCAATAATTCATGTGGCTGCTGTGAAGTGGGGGCTGCAGCTTCCGGGAGGGCCCAGGAGGCACACAGCAGACCGGAAACAAAATCTGGTCTCTTGCACCTGAGCCTGATCTCCACAGACTCCATGGGGCTAGAGGAAGTGCTAGGTTTGGTGAGAACGGGTTGGAGGATCTGACCCCAGGCAAGTCACTTCACTTTTTTCTGTTTCTTACTCTTAGTGAGGTGTGAACAATTACAGGGAGCCAGTGCAAACTGGAATATGCTGGATACGGCGCTTGGCAGGTCCTCATGGGAGGTACTGATCGTCACCTGGCCCTGTCTGCTTTCCCAGGAGCACAGAATTTCGTTCAGCGGTGGCCTCCAGCACACCAGGCTGCCCCAGGACTATGAGACGGGCTGTCCTCTGTCACCCCTTCCCTACATTCCCAGACCTTGTGGGGGTGGGGGTGGGGGCAGAGCATGCATTTCGGCTGTTTTTGGGAGGCTCAGGTTCGTCCCTTAGAATAAATCCCCAACCGAGAAAAAGTTCGTTGGAATCAAACAGCCTCAGTTGGTCTAGAAAGCAAAGAGACTAGGTTAAAAATATCTATTATTAAATCCCAGAAAAATTCTCAACGAACACTCAGGGTCTCTGTGGTTGTAATTCCTCACAAGAGGATGAGGTCATTTGATTCTGAGCAGTGAGGGTCCAAACTACTCTGCTTCGAGCTGACTGGCTGGACGGTGTGCAATTTACCACAATGTTGGTCTGATATCACCGGCAACAGGTTCTAGGCTCTTCTAGTTGTTTTTCCATTCCAGGCTCATTTGTGATGTAGCTGGCCCACTTGGGGGAAGGCATGTGCTTCCTAAAAACACACCTATCATCTCCACATGGCCAAGGACTGGAGGGAACAGGGCCACTGGGTATCCCCAGGCCAGGGTGGCCTGCATCTTTCTGGAGCCCATCTTCCCACGCCTATGCACGGATCCCCGGAGGACTCAGGCTGTGAACAAACCCACATTCACTGCAGGCTGCTCTTCAGGGCTGCCTGGTGGGGCCACGACTCACAAGAGAGTATCACTTTGAAAAGCAAAGACAGTGCCTTTATTCACTGTAAGGGATCTTGGGGCCACTAACCTAGATCAAGAGAAGCCTGAGGTGCACAGAGCCCCCCCTTCCCCTCCATCAGAGGGAAGTAACACTCCACTCATGGAGCTAAGTAACCCAGCACAAGGATTGGTAATGGGGGGGGAGGGGGCGCGGTGCTGTCACACATGGCTGTATGGCCTTACTCTCCCTGCAAGACCTGTTCGCCCAATTTTGCTCTGGAAAAATATTCCAGTTAACAAAGGCACAGACTGCTGGGGGCAGGACGGTGGCCCTGGAGAGCTGTGGGCGGATAACAGGGCAAGGTGGGGTCCTGATCTTGTCCTCGCCCTCACCCCAGGCCCCCAGAGGTGACATGCGCTGAGAACTGAGCTCCAGGGTTGCGCCAGGGGAGCTCCCCTCAGACCAGCCTGCTCTGCCTGGTACCAGAGGGCAGGACAAAGTCAGGGGACCTCGTTCCCACGAGTCTGCAGCTGTACACATCTCTGTCCTTAGTGCCTCCATCATCAGGTCTTAAAGGATGTCCCCCCTCCATTCCCTGCGTGGCCATCAGGACCCTCTGCAGCAGATCATGGGAGAGAAGAGCAGTGCCAGCAGAAATCCGTACATCAGCCAAGTCCCAGTTCTGTGAGCAGCTGAGACCCCAACCCGTGTGGTCCAGGACTCTTAACTGGCCCCCGAGAATGCAGCCCCAGACCCCACCTTGTGTCTTGATGCACCCCGGCTCATTGCAGGTGGGGAAGGCATGGGGCCGTGGCATAAAGGGGCACGTTGGGAAGCACCAAAGGGGCTCAGATCCAGTGCCCACAAGCCACGCAGAGGAGCGGTGTCGCCTAGGCCTCGAGCTGAGATCTGTCCCAGCTCAGGGGCCTTCCAGGCTCCAGGTGGTGACAGGAGGCCCCGATGAGAAAGACAGGAAGGAGCCCACTTCCGCCAGGGCTCTGCTCCCAACACTCATGGAGGAAATTCACCCAGGCACAGGCGGGGCAAGCAGATGCCGGACACCGAGACAGCCAGAAGGCCCATGGGGTGAAGACAGGGCATCTGAGGATGGCCACCAGAACCACGGCATGGGGACACACAGGCTATGATTGGGGGGGGAAGGGCGTCGAGGGGGGACGGAGGCAGCCCTGGCCATTCTGCAGATCCTTGTGGCCTCAGTCACTTGGGGACCAGGAAAGGCTGGGCTGGCCCTTGGGCCCCAGCCACACACCTCGGGGCTTCACAGATAGATACCCACTCAGTCCACTGCTTCAGGGTGGTGGCCTCTGGTCCCTCCCAGCTCCAATGACAAGGAGGGGAGAGGTGGTGGGCCCTGCCCAGCCCGGACAGAGCCATGAGGACATCAGGACGGCGTGTGGTTCAGGGAAGAGGGCTTCTACCATCTCGTTTTATTTTGCGGGGACTGAGCCTAAAGTAACCAGAAAGAACAAGAGTCAAAGGGGACCCTACTGCTCGGGGCCCAAGCACTGACTTTTACTTAAAAAAAAAAAAAGTGTCAATCCCCGGGGGGCTGCTGCAATCTGACATAGAAGGGAGAAGTTTGTTTTTCTTCCGGCAACCTTTCTCTCCCTTCCAGCAGAGACATTTGTTTTTTCCCTACGACCGACCGGTGTCAGAAAATAGCTTCTGACCAGCTGGGGAGGAACATTCCCAAGCTTGGGAGGGGCGGGCTTGGCAGCCCCTTTGCAAAGCCCTGAGCCGGTGTTCAAGGGTCAAAGCACTGCGCTCATCTAGGCCCAGGCCACTGGGGCCCACTGGCCGTCCCACGGTGGGCCTAGGAAGGTGGACCTCAGGACAACCTGGCCAGTCTTGGGGTGGCCACTTCTAGAGGCCGTGTGGCCTCTCTGGCTCAGTCAGCTTACCTGTGAGAGGGCCCTGGACGGCGATACCCCTAACTTGCCTCCAAGGCCCCATCCAACCCTAAAATGGCATGATTATGGGATTCTGACTCTAGAAAGAGGACAGAATACTGTCCTGTCCACCTTTCTGGGAAGCCACGAGGTTTAAAATGAACTGATGTGGGGCCCCCTGGGTGGCTCAGTTGGTTAAGTGTCCAACTTCGACTCAGGTCACGATCTCACAGTTCATGGGTTCGAGCCCCATATCAGGCTCTATGCCGACAGCTCGGAGCCTGGAACCTGCTTCAGATTCTGTGTCTTCCTCTCTCTCTGCCCCTCCCCGGCTCATGCTCTGTCTCTCAAAAATGAATAAACATAAAAAAAATTTTTTTAATACAAATAAAAAATAAAAGGAGCTGCTGTGGAAAGAGTTTGTTCACCGTAAAGGACTGAGCAAGTGGACGTGTTATTAACTGCCCAGGAATGAAACCAACTGGAACCGGCTGACCCTTTCCACCTTTGGAAACCCACTTTGTAAACAAGTCCCAGTGCACAGCTCACTCTAACAACACGGGGCGGTGATTCTCCACCCTGTCCCCTAAAGGACCTTGACGGTCAGTGCCCCTAAGAGGGTCTGAAGTCGGCCTAGCTTCCCTTACCCACACCGTCCTCAGAGCTGTGTGATGGCGGGCCCCTGCCTCCCCTGCTCTGGCCTTACGTATGGCAGGTGGAGGGGGTCCTGGCAGAAAACTGCCCGCATTCAGATAAGCCCAGATGCTGCCTAGACCCCACACAGGAGCTGGGACCCCCGCAGTTTGGTCTGATCGCATTCGACAGAGATACCCAGGCTCAGCTGAAGAATCCTTCCCTGGGTTCAGGAGTCGGCTACTTACTTGCGTGGAAGGAAAACTCAGCAGTAGCTTTCACAGGAGCCGGATTTGGAGGGAGAAAGAGGAACACCCCCCACCCCCGCCACTGCCTGTACAGGAGGAGGCTCATTCAGTGACCAAGAGCCAGGGTCAGAAAGGACATTCCCAGAGGAAGAGCTAATAAAGCAAAAACATGTTTATTAGGCGCCCTTGCTCCTCACAGAGGAGCAAAACCCAGGACAGACACTCCTGAGAAATCTCTCGAGGTTGCAGGAATCTCTCAGAAGATTCCAGAAAATGTTGGCACTGATCGGCCACCACCCCCAAGAACAATATTTGGCTGGAGCATGAAGTGGGGGCTGAGCTCCTCAACTCTGCAAACACCGAGAAGTGGGTGGAGGGGCCCCGGGACACCCCCCATCCCCCCACCCCGGCCCAAACATTGGCAGATGGGGAGGGCTTTCCTGGCTCTGAGGCACAGTCGCCCTGAGCCACTGAGGGGGCAGGGAAGCAGGAGAGCAGTGGGCTCCTCTCCCGGGCCAGGTCCCCACAGGGCCCTCCCCAAATGTGCCTGCCTGCTCCTGACCACCGACTCAGTCCCACACGTAGGGGTTTCTAAGGACCTGGGAGTTCTTGCCGTCTTTCGGCGGTGTGGCCTCCTGGTGGCTCTGGGCCGCATACATGTCTTCGGCCCTCAGGGTGGAATTGGCACTGCCCATCACCTGGCTGTTGGCGGTGGCTCGTGGGAGGATGACGTCGTAAGCTCCTTCAGACTGGAAGGAAGGACAGGAGGTCTCACAGCCAGGTTCCGCCAGGGCGGGCGGACGCGCAGACGCTCTGCTTCCTGCAGGGCCGAGGCTGCCAGTTCCCCCTTCCCTGCTCCCCCCACCCCACCTCCAGCAGTGTCTCCACCTCTCGAAGCGGAAGGGCTGGCCTCTGACCTCCAGCCTCTTCCCTCACCCTGCAGAGCTCCAGGCCTCTAGACGTAGAGGAGGCGCCTGTCACCTTCGATGGTCCTGGGGCCTCACTATTTTCAGAAGGATCCTTTTCTCAAGCCCCCTCCCCCCTGCTCCCAACGCCTCCTGGGCCGCAGCAGAGGGTGAACCACATACCGAGTGCAACTACCTGGCTGGTACTGCTCCCAGGCTCCCGTCTCCCCAGACTCCTCCCCGGGTCCTCCAAATGGCATTATGCCCCCCCAAATGCATCAGAGCTGCTGTGTGGCTGGCCGGGGATGGCCTTCAGTTTGCCCACATTTCTTATCTTGAAGCCTGAGCTGGCTAGTCAGATGTAGAGGCTTAAAACCCAAATTCTTGGGGCGCCTGGGTGGCTTGGTTGGTTAAAAGCGTCTGACTCTGGGTTTCAGCTCAGGTCACGATTTCTCGATTTGTGAGCTTGAGCTGCATTGGGCTCTACACTGATGGTGCAGAGCCTGCTTGGGATATTCTCTCTCTCTCTCTCTCTCCATACCTCCTGCATCTCTCGCTCTTTCTCTCTCAAAATAAATAAACAAGGGCTCCTGGGTGGCTCCGTTGGTTGGGCATCTGACTTTGGCTCAGGTCATGATCTCAGTCAGTGAGTTCTAGCCCCACATTGGGCTCTGTGCTGACAGCTCGGACCCTGGAGCCTAATTCAGATTCTGTGTCTCCCTCTCTCTGCTCCTTCCCTGTTCGCACTCTGTCTCTCTAAATAAACAAACATACACATACACACACACACACACACACAAATTCTCTGCCCGGAACCTGGCTAAAGTGGCAATGGCCCTATTCCTGTGGCGGGGGGGATTCAACTGTGGGGTGAGAAAGGCCCAGAGGCACTCAGCCCAGCTCCCACACTGGAAGGAAGGTGACCTCCTGGCCCCATCTGCCCTATCGCTACGGAAAGACCCGCCACCAAACCCCTGCCACTCCAGGGTCCCAAGCTGCCTTTGGTCTAATCAGACCCTGTGCTCCTCCCTGGTTTGCACACCACCCCACCCACCCCCCCGCTCCCCTGCCCCTAGTGACTCCAGGAACATCTAGACGGGTGGTTCTCAAACCTGTGTGTGCAACAGACTCACCCGGGCAGTTTGTTAAACCACAGCCACGCTTAGTCAGGATCCAACCCAGTAGTAGCCTGGTAAAAGTTTACCTGGGGGGTGGGGGAGGGGGAGCCTTCCCCTGATTTCTGGGTGTGGGCACTCCCGATGTGGCAGATTCCACGTTATCAAGATGATGCCACTGAAGAGATGCTAACCATCAGCCCCATGACACCACCGGCCCCATCCAGTCTGTACCGATAGCAAGTCCCCAGGTGATGGTAGTGCCGGGAGGTCCGGAGACCATCAGAGAAGATATCCCCATCCATCCGGATCCTACCCCCAGCCCAGGGAAGCAGGACTCAGGTGCGCAGGTAAGAGAAGGCTGGGCAGCGTGGGGCATCCATTGAAGGAAGGACCCTGGGGTGGGGCTGGGGGGTTGGTATCCACAGCCTGGGAGGCTGTAACCAGCAGACTGTGTCTTTCAGAGACTCCTTGCCCCTCCCAGCGCCTGGCTGCAGGTTCAGCTTAGGGAGAGGGAAGGGGCTGGAGCTGCGAGTTTCAGATGCTCACTGCACCCTGCCCCCCACCCCGGGGCTCAGGGCAGGGAAGGGAGGGGTGCGGTATGAGAACACCACCCTGCTGACCTCCCTCGTTTCCGGTTCCCAGCATCCTGCCAAGGCGGGTCACTGACCTCTCCCCATAGTGACTGCCAGCCCCGGGAGGAGGAACATATATGGAGCGAGTGAGAATCTAACCCACTGTCTTCCTGTTCCCACCCCCCACTGGCTAATGGAGCATCTGGTTTCCAGAACCCAGGGGAGGTATGAGGTTGAGAGCTGCCTCCTGCCTGTGGGGGGAAGGGAGCCGTGGCCCCCTTGGGACAGCTGTGGTTGAGGAACAAATACTTACCCAGACCTGCTTTGGGGTCCTCTGCGCCTTTGGGGGTACCAACGAATGACACCTACCTACCTACCTACCTGGCTGAGACCTTCCTCTGTCCTTCCCTAAGCTGCGTAGGGCAAAGCTGGCATCTCCCACCGGCCCAGAGAGCCTGTTCTGCATTCTCCACAGCGAGGGGCCCCAGTCACCGTGTGATGCTCCATGACCCGGGGCAGGTCCCGCTGCCGTGAAGCTGAGGGCTGTATATTCGCCAATTCCAGGAACCAGACGTGAGGAGCCCTGCTCGGTCCCCTGAGCCTGATGCATCAGATGGACCAGCCTGCCTTCTCCATCCATACCGCACGCCACCCTGCACCTGCCCGCTCAGGCCGGGCTCCGAGACCCCCACAGGGCCACAGAGACCCTGGAACCCCACTCACCGGGCCTTTGTGCATCAGGGCCATCTCAGTGGGCTGGTACACACTGGTCAGCAGCTGGCCGTTGTACCCGCTGTATGGTGACACCGGTCTCTTAGCTGCAGAGACACACAGGAGTGGTCTGGGGGCTGGGCTCTCGGGCAAGGCTCCCCAGGGAGGGCACAGAGAGGGACGAGGGGTCTCACCTGCCCTGAGATAACGTCTAACGCAGAGAGGAAGTCCAGCCGGGGTTGGCCAGCTTGGAGGTGAGGTTGCAGGGGGGGCCCCTCGAAAGCCCAGCATGCCTTTGTCAGGAGCCAAGGGGAGCAGGATGCCCACCTTCCCCTCAGGCTTTCCTGCAGCGGGAGGACCACCCCACCCCACCCCCACTTCAGCAAAGAAAAATGCTCCTGTCAGCAACCTTCACATCCCCATCCGCCCTCCGGGGCCAGAGGCCAAGAGAGGCATATGGGCCCTCGGCCACCTTCCAAGATGGCCAGGCTCCAGCTCTGGCCTCGATCGCGGCAGGCTGGCGGCCAGACACCAGGGTAAGCACACCAGGGACTCCACAGCCTGAGACACCTCACGCCGTCACAAAGCAGAACTGGATGCGGATTCTCCAGGACCCCACGGTCCAGAGCCCCACTGAGGGACTGAATGCACCTCCCATACACTGGCACCCTGGCAAGTTTCCAGAACTATTTTCGGCTCCAGGAATACCTCCCTGGGCCGGGGCTGTGCTCCCCTGCTGAGGTTCCCAGGGTGTCCGAGGAAAGCTGCTGACGCACCCCAGGGGCCAGAGAGCAGGTGAGCAGCTGTCCGTCTCCCCAGGCTGATGGCCCGTGGCTCTGAGGGACCACACTATACAGGGCTGGCTTCCTAAGTGCTGGGCCAGCTCCGCTCCATTGATTTTTCCATTTAGAAAAAAAAAAGAAAAAAGAAAAAACCCTCACAGCCCCAGAAGTGTTTGCCTTGAAAGGACAAAGGCTGAGTACTACTTGGGCCTACAGCCCAGACACCGGGCAACAGCAGGGGTGGGCAAGGACGCCCCCACCCAGGCCTGCACACAAGCCCCGCCTCCCACCAGCCTAGCCAAGTGCCCCCTGCCCCGTCCCCCTCCCCCGCAAAGCACTCAGTTGGTCCCACTGGGTATGTGCACCTGCGCCAGAGGCCACCCCAGTGAGCAGATCAAAGGTCAAGTGCCAGGCAGGACAAGGATCACTCCTTTCCCCAAGGCCGAAATGATGGGCATCTCAGTTTGTCAAGAGGCAGGGAGTTCTGATTCCAGAGACCCCAGAGCTGGTGACTGACAGTCAAGCAGTTAAAGCCTTAAGCCCCCAAACATCTTAACCAGCCCAGTCTGGGCTTGGGGTCAGGGCTCTGAGACTGTACCTCCAGTTCCCGGTCGTGTCAGTGACCGGGCTGTAGCCAGCCGGCTAAGAAAGCACGCCACAGGACCCATCAGGAAGAGCAGGGCATGTGGCACACAGTAGGTGCTCAATAAAGGCTAGTGATCCTTATGACTAACAAATGCCAGAGAAATACTCTTCCCTTTGGAAACTGGGAGCTCAAGTGGCCAAGCTTCCCAGAGAATCATCCCCTGCCCACCCCCCTATGCTTCTCAAGCTGCTCCCAAAGAGGGACTTGGCACAGGCTGCAGAAGCCTCACCCATCCCTGCCTCTTCCATTCCGGGATCCCCTCAGCCTGACCCCTCCAAGGCTGTACGGCTGGCTGGGGCCCCTGGTGCTGGGCTCCACCAGGAAAGCCCCATCCCATTAACAAAGAGCCTTGACAGGAGCTTGGGAACAAGCCAGCTGGATATTGGATGCTGCTTAGACCGGTATGTGGCACAGTCCTTTTATCCAAATGAACAAAATCTTGGGGCGCCTGGGTGGCTCAGGCGGTGAAGCGGCCGGCCGACTCCTAACTTCGGCACAGGTCATGATCTCACGGTTGATGAGTTTGAGCCCAGCGTCCAGCTCCATGCTGTCAGCTTGGAGCCCACTTGGAATTCTCTCTCTCTCCCTCGGTCCCTCCCCTGCTTGATCTCTCTCAAAATAAATAAACATAAAAAAAAAAAAAGAAAATCTTAACTGAGAAGACTTTTCAAGGAAACTTTAAAGGAAACCAAGACTATGTAGGTGTATATAATAGAAAAACACGTCCTGGATGGGTAGTAATAATAGTTATGATAATAGCAATACACAGAGCTAATAGCTACTACTTCTAGAGCACTTTCCTAGTGCCAGGCATATGCATGAATCTACTCTTCGCAAGAATCCTACTTAACAGGAACCATTATCATGCCCATTTTGCAAATGGGGAAACTGAGGCCCGAGGCAGTAAACTCTCACTCGCAGTCAATGGTGGTTATCGTTCTAGGGACGGAACAGGAAAGAACTGAGTAGAAGTGGGAAGACAGCGGGAGGGTGGGGTGGGGAGAGCTTTATCTGTGGTGCTTGAAATTTTACAGTGAAAACATTCATCAACTACAGGAGTGCAGAAAAATAAACTTTTGAAGTCTGGAATTCAGGGAGTTTCGGGCAGGAAAATACAGATAATCCGAGAACCTTCCATCATGCCCAGGAGACCGGCCCTGCCTCAACCGGTGTGTAAGGAAAGACAGGCAGGTGGGGAGGGTTTTCCTCCACTTACCTGAGGCTGGCTCATCCATGGAAAATGCCTTGTTCTCCACAAACATGCTCTGACCCTTCTGCTCTTTCAGGATAGTTTCATAACCTACGCCACGGGTTGGGTACATGTCCCCCTGATAGGTTTGCTCTGGGCTGGCCTTGGTCACCTGGGAAACCTCAGGGATGACGTAGAAGAGGACGAAGGCCCAGGCATTGGCGGCAAGAGCAATGGCCAGCGTGGGATCATCCCAGGTGGGGCTGTTATGCTGTTTGTTGCCGTAGGTGTACATGACAATCCACACCACCCAGATGGCAATGGAGGTGGCCGTGGTGAGCAGCACAAAGACCCCGTGCTTGCGCCAGCGCTTGAAGCGGCCACACAGGGCAGGCCAGGCCCCCACGAAGGCACACACCAGCAGCAGCATGACGTAGATGAGCGCCATGACAAAGTCCATGTTGGCGATGGCACACGGGGAGGCTGGGGTCCAGGCAGCGCTGCCGTTGCCCGAAGGGCCACCCTCGCCACCGCCCCGGACCAGCGTGATGATCAGCCACTCGGTGTTGATGATCACCTCCACAAGGGTCAGAAGCACGGCCACGGTGAAGATCACCCAGCCCCGGGGCCCGTGGTTCTTCCGGGCCAGGAAGTTGAGGGCAAAGACGTGAGCCACCAGGCAGGAGAAGCAGATGGCGAACAGAACTCCAAAGAGGAACCGGCGAGAGGCACAGGTGGAGAAGTCCGGCTTCACCACGCAGGCAAAGACGAGGCAGAAGAGGCCCAGGGTCCCCAGCAGGAAGAACACCTGGGTTCCCAGGAGGCTCCGCTTCTTGGTGTCCTGCACGAAGGGGAGGCTGGCCACAAGGATGACGGTGAGGACAAAAGTGGTAACAATGCCCGCCCCAGCCACTGCCTCCAAGATGATGCCCCAAGCCCTGGAGCGGTCACACAGGTTGTAGTAGAGGGGGTTGAGGTCCGGGCTGCAGCCTGGTGGCACACGGCTCTGGGCCTGGGCCCCTGAGAAGAGGAAGAGAGGCAGCCCCAGGCAGGTCAGCAAGGCTTTAGGGATGGCCATCCTGGCTCCCAGGCCAGGCTCCAGCTGGGTCCCTAGAGATAGAGCGAGAAAAGGCAAAATCAGTTCTCCAAAGCCAGATTCGGACACACAGGTCACTTGCTTTCCTCCCTCCTGAACCAGGGCAGACCGTGCAAGCTGATGACGAGACCGCCCCGCTGGGCTTCAGAATCCCTCTTGACACAGAAATCCCGGGGGACGTATCGGCTGACCAGAGAGGCAAGTGAGATGAAGCCCATTTGTCATCTCTGTTCCTCGTCATGGAAAAGGAGGAAAGCCTCACTGAATTTTCAGGTTCTCCCCTTCCCTTATCCTGTCCGGTGTCCGAATATTCCCTGAGCTCTTGTAGCTTGGGTTAGGGGTGCGAGGGCTGGTGAGCAAGTCAAAACCAAGCACACCACCCATTTAACACTCTCTCTCTGCCCTGAGACTCCTAGAGTCCAATTCAACAGGCCTGACGCTGTGCCCCTCGAGTCTGTCCCTGCGATGCCCACGTCCATGGCCAATCTGCTATGCACTCATTCACGCAACACATACTTAACGAGCACTGGTGAGCTGGAGCCAGAAAAGACGAGAAGAGATGGTTCCCTTGGATTCCTCCCCTCACCTCCCTTTTCTGCCCTTCATTTGCACACGTTTTATGCCAGCTCTCCTCTTCGGAATCTAAACTTCTTTGTCTAGCTCAGTTGCTGGAGTCAAGGATAAAATAAACTAATTTCTCAGCTAGGGAGTTAATGACTTCATGTAAAAATCCTCCTATGAGGCATTAACATTTTAAAAGCAAGAAGCAGACAAGGGCAATGCAACACCCAAAGGAACTCCTCTATCACGGAAGACTTTAAGGCGCTGTAGCTAGAAGGCAGAAAAGAGATTTTTCATTCATGCCAGGAAGGTAAGCGAGGACTCTATGTACTCCGCATCTGACCAGTCCCAACAGCGATTCTAGTAAGTGCTGAGGACCAGAGCGAATACGCACCCCTGCTCTCAATACCTGCTGGATGTTCCCTGTGTGAAGTGAAGGTAAAGAACCTGGCAGGTTAAGAGACATTAAATATCCAATCAGTGAGCTGTCCAATGAGAGACTTTACATTTACCTTGAGAACACAGAATCTAAACGTTCTAAAAAGCCAAGGTCAAGGGCCCCTGGGTGGCCCCATAGGTTAAGCCTCTGACTCTTGATCTCAGCTCAGGTCATGATCTTGAGGTTTGTGGGATGGAGCCCCACATCAGGATCCACGCTGACACAGCTGAGCCTGCTTGGGATTCCCTCTCTCTCTCAAAATAAACTTAAAAAAAAGCCAAGTTCAAAAATAGTATGGAATTCACGCACCGCACATCATATCACCCCTTATGTTCAAGTAATTAGTTGGAACCCTGCCTCTTCCTCTCACTTCTCAGATCCCCCGGAAGTCTTCAGAAAGACAGCAACCAAGCTTTCCTGGGCTGATAGTGACCACTAGTGGCTCACAGGGGAATGGCATGATCCAACTCTTCCCATCTCCTTTCTTCCTCCTTTCCGGGTGGTGATACATATCCCCTTAGGTTCCCATCATCCCTAAGTTACCTGATTCTTTTTTTTTTTTTTTTTTAGTTTATTTATTTTTTTTGAGAGAGAGAGAGGAGAGAGAATCCCCAAGTAGGCTTTGCACTGTCAGCACAGTCTGATGTGGGGCTCGATCCCACGAACCATGAGATCATGAACTGAGCCAAAGTCAAGAGTTGGATGCTTAAGCGACTGAGCACCCAGGTGCCCCCCCCATCTAGTTACCTAATTTCTAACAGGTGAACAAAAAGTCCTGTATCCCACTCAATAGAAATTATCTCTCCATAATTGATAAGTAGAAGAGTATTGCTACTGATCAGGGAAAATAAAACTCATCAAGTGAAATGGACATAATAAAAGCTCATCAATTTTCACAGTCCTTTAATATATATCCTACAAGCCCCCTGAAAATACTGTAGATAGCTCAACCTTCTTAGCTACTTCATTTTTCAGTTAAGCTTACTTCCCCTCCAAATACCACCCACCATTAACTCTTAATAAACTAACATCTTCAGTGTGTTCCTAAACTGCACGGTCACAGAGCTCAGTTTCTCTTGATTTGTAACGCAAGAGCACGGTTCATTTCCCTGCATCAACATTTAAATAAGCTTTTGTAGGAGACTTTGTGTAATCGTAAATCAATAACGCATAAACCATATTTACAAGGGCCGGAAAGAAAAAAGAGCAGAGGGAGGATTCATGGGTAAAGAGGAACATTGAACCACTCCAGGGGATATAATTTGCAGATTACACGCTATGGGTTCCTAAGTATTTAACCCCATCTTGGGTGTCTGGGGCTCACAGCAAAGCAGCCAGAACTTGTGGTCAAGTTGGAGATGTGTAAAGTGAGCCCTGAGAACAGCCACCCCGATTTAGCCCCCAGGTATCTGCACGTCTTTGAGCACTTCTCCCCCTCCCCCACCTTGCTCAGGGTCCCCTTTAGAACAGGTGTTTTTCCAAATCCGAAAATATTTACTGTGTATGGGGGAGGGGGGGGTGGAACAAAGCCCAGTTGTTCTCCAAGCTCTGAAAGCTACAAAGATGAACAAATACAGTCCCTGACTTGATGGTTTTTAAAACCCAGTATGAGATAAGGTACAGACAGTGAGCACCCCACAACAGAATTTGCCTCTGGGGAGAAAAAGGTGCTATAAGACTCAGAGGAGGAAGCCTTGCGCTGAGGGGTCAGAAAAGACAGAATGGAGAAGATCTTTCAACAGTATTTTATTCAGTATCTAATCAACTTCAAGTATGAACTGAGTTTGTAAAGGAAGACTGCAGCTGGCTAGCGACAGACCAGAAATGCTACAGGGAGGGAGTTCAGGGCATTTCCCCCAAGGCTATGAGGAGCCACGGAAGGCTGTTTTTGTACCAAGGCGGCATAACCAGGGCTATGCTTCACAATTCGAATCTGGCAAAAAGCACAGGCAATCGATTTGCTGAGGGCACATTCACCCCTGTTTAAAGATCGAGGCCAAAGGTAATAAGCCATAATGGACAGGTCTGGGAGATCCTTTACAAAATAAAATCTAAGGACTGGATGGGGGTGGGAGGGCGGTGGAGAAGGATACCAAATCCCACACTACAAGTTCAAATCTGATAACAGCCATATCATTACAAAATAAAAAAAACAAACCAAAAACCAAAAAAAAAAAAACAAGCAGAAAACAACCCCGGTCGCATTTAGCTCTGCAACCCCTCTGTCACTTATTCTTCTGAGTCCATCTTCCTCTTAGAAGTACATGCCTTTACCTTGGTGGCATCCAGCAGCCTCTTAACTTCTCAGCACTACCAGTGTGGGAACTTCCAAGGAAGGAAATAGGAATCTGTTCCGTCTCTTCCTCCCCATCCTGGTACCACGCTGCCCAGCTGCCCTGCAATTTACCAGCCCCAGATGAAACAAACCACTCCCACCCTAGTACATTATTTCTCTGATTCCCCAGGAAGCGCAAGGGTGAGTGTGGAGATATGAACACACCAACTTGGGCCTAGGGCCGTGATCCGTGCACGCCAGCGGATTTCGAGAAGGAAGCTCCGAAGAGTTCTGCAACTGGTCCTTTGACCTCCAGGAGTGCCGATTCAGCCAGTCAACTATGCCACCTTTTAGATGGTGGAGAAGGGGGAAGGTCTGTTTAGAAATGGACCCAGCTCTGCCTAGAGACTCTCCCTCCTCCGGGTCCTTAAGATTTGCACTTCCCAGCTGTCTTCTGAGCCTTGACAGTTAAAATTCTGTGTATCTGGCTGGAAGGTTTGGGAGGGTACTGGACAAGACGTGCTTATCTTAGCATCACTGCAACACCTGTATCTTTGCCTTGAGCATAGGAGGCACTTAAAAAACATTCACCGAACAGACTCGGTGCCCATTTCTCCCCTGCCTTCTTCATTTTGGAGTCACGTCTTCTTACTTCAAGGTTTTCAGTGGGACCCAGAAGGGGAGGGAGAGGGGGAGCGCCTTCTGCCCCATGAATTTCTCCTACCCCACCGCTGCAGCATAGCCCGGTCTCAGATTATTTTCTGGACAAAGGGGCCCTTTTGCTTCACCTCCCTGGAATCAGTCATACAAATATTTTTAATCACCTCTGAAATCAGCCTTTCCCCAGCTCAGCCACTCAGCCCCCAGCTCTGGTCTGAGTCAGCCCAATCCAGTTCCAGAATCCCCTTCCTCCCTCTTTCCCTCTCCTGGGGGAGTAGAGAGGCCTCTGCAGAGTGGTGGGTTCAGAGGCTCAGCTGGCCCTGACTGGCTTGATCAGAGGCAGTCAGGCCCTCACCTTTCTGAAACAACCCCTTCCTCACCCCCTACCATCCACACCAAAGTCTTGAGAGCCCCTAAGGCATAGGAGACTATCCTGAAGAGGGCACCACGGGCTTCACACTGCCCTGGTCTGAATCTCGCAGGCTCAAGGATACAGAGTAAGATAAAGATACGCAGCCAGTGGTTACACTGAAGGGTGCCATGACCCTTGACAGTACCCTCTCGAAGGCACCCAAGCTCACCTAAGGATACCACAAAGCATTCTCTTTCCTCCCCTCCCTGTCTTCCAGCACTCAGCAGCCTAGCAGGAAAGATGCATGGACCCACCAACAACCCTCCCACCTCTTCCCCTTCTCCCCCAGGGCCCCCTCCCTTTCTGGAGCCTGGTAACTTTGGCTATAATATCTTACTCCCGTCCAGGGGTCTCCAGGTTGGGGAGGGAGGGGCTTCTGGGAATCTCAGCCTTGACCTCCACATCAAGTGGGCATTTGGGTCAAAAATTTTCTGAGCATTCCGAAACGTGGAAGTCTTCAGTTCAAGGGTCTGCTCTGGAATGCCACCCTGGAATGCGCCCCACCCTCCTATACTCCCCACCACCCCAAACACAGGAAGACACAAGATGGGAACCTCCAGGAGCACAAAACCCTATTGTGACACATTCCGTCCGGTGCTTTAGGATCAAGATCGTGAGCTTTTAGATGACTGGCTTCTCCAGGGTGTAAAACTGCTGGCTTCTGGATGGAGGGGCGCTACCCAGCCCTTGCGGCTGCAAAGGGCCTTGGAAAAGCCATGGTGGGGGGTGGGGGTGGGGGGTGGGGAGTGGAGCAGGGGTCTGGAAGCCAAGCTGCCAGAAGTAGAGGCTCTTTGATGGTCTGATTCCAAACTTCCTACAGGAAGATTCTGAGAATTTCCCTCCCCACTTCTTGGGGTCTACAGCGGTGCTCCCCCGGCCTTCGGACCAAGATGAGCAGGGACCCAGCCTCTGTCCACAGAAACCTGCCCACGGACACCGGAGAGGACGCCGGCCACAAGTCACTGCTGACCGTGGACTCCCGCAGAGAGGCGGCGGGAGTGGAGGGGGGCACCGAACGTGCAGTTCCGGACAGCGCCGGGCTTCCTCCCGCCCCCGTCCCCCAGCTGGCTCGGGGTTGGAAAGTTTCTGCGACCGAGCGGAGCTGGCGCGCCGTCCTCCACTGCCCGGTCCTCAGCCCTCGGGCTTCTGCCCGCACCCACCGCCAGCCAGCCGGACCCGGCTCTTCCGGGCTGCGGAGGGGAGGGCGGAGCGGGAAGGCAGGAGTCCTTACCTGGGACGCACCGCCCGCCCCACTCGGCGCAGCTCTGGGGCCACCTCCGGCACCAAGCGGGGCGCGGGCGGGTGGAGAGGGACTCCGCGTAGGGCGCGGAGCCAGGCGCAGCCCTGGCCTGGGGTGGCGGGGCCCGGGCGGGGGCTCGGGGCGCAGGGCCTGCCTCTCCCCGGGACCTGGGCTGAGCTGGCCGCGCTCGGTCGCCGGCCTCTCCCCGCACTCGGCTGTTTTCTCCGGGCCAGGGTGGGTTGGCGCCTGCATCACCGTGACATCACCTCCATTCAGGCGCTTATCGGGCGGCCGCAGCGCTCCAGGTATGTGCAATCCATTTGCACAGCAACAAAGCCCGCCCGGCCCTCCCCCTGCGGACTCACCTCCAGGCTCCGGCGAGGCGCACTTTCCGGCCAGGGAGGGAGCTGCGAGTTTCTGGCAGAGCCCGAGCGAGTGTTGTGCTGTTTACTGCCACGCCCCCGCACGCGGGCGCGCGCACTCACGCGCACTCACTTTCCGGACTCCTCTCTCCCTCCCGAAAGCGGTTTGGGGTGCAGCCCGGCACACCTCGCGCCTGGCTCTCCCGTCCCGCATGTCCCAGCGCTCGCCCACGGACACGCGCGGGGCCGCCTTGGTGCGCCTCGCCCAGCCTCCGTCACCTTCGTCCTGGCTCGCCCGAGAGCCACACACGCCGGGCACAGTTCGCTGCTCGCGGCTGGAGCGAGGCGCACACTCAGACACAAAGTCCGTCTTTGTCACGCCTTCTGCGCCCCCTCCCCTCCCCGAGCTTGCACACGTGGACACACCACACCCACCTCTTCCACGCGCGGCCCTTCCCCGGCCCCAGGGCCGCCAAATGGGCGTGGGAGGGCCACCGCGCGCGTCCCTGCTGCCGTGGGCCGGGCCCAGATCCACTCGGGACAATGAGCAAACGTCGCCCTGGGCCCGACTCCCCTGCGCCTGGGTTTCCTGCGGTCGCCCCAGACTCGGTCCAGCTCGTAGCGCGCGCTCCCCTCCCTGCGTCCCCGTTCCCTGTTCCGACTTGTCCTAATTAGCCTTCACGGTCGTGTTCCCCGAGGTACAGTGTTTAACCCGGCCCCCGCAGTGCCGGCGCTCCGGGACACGTCGGCCCCGACTCGGAGTCCACCCCTCCTGCCGCTCGGGGGCTTTTCCACCGGTTCCGGTACCCTCCGCCCCTCGCCGCTTCCCACCCCCCCTCCCTGCCCCGGGGCGGATCAGCGGGTTGCCACCCTTTCCCCTCCGGCCCCAGGAATCTGCAGAAAGGGAACGCAGAAATGGGGAAGCAAATCCAGTCTGGGACGTCCCTGGCCCTGTAAACAAGAGATTTTCCGGCCGCCTGTCCCTGGGGCTGTGGGCTCCGCGGGAGGTGGGCTGCGCGCTCTGCGGGCGCCCAGCGGGGCCTAGTTAGCCTGCACCGGAGGCCCGGAGGGGCCACGGCGCACCGCGAAGGGGGAGGCTGTTGGGCCTGGCTAGGGCCCAGGGGACGCAGAGGGAGGGCAGGGCGCCGGGTCTCCGGGGTGCTGTTCTCGTGACGCCGAGTTGCCTGGGGGATCGCCAGGCCGGTGGCGGGGCGGGCGGCGGGGTGTGTTTGCACAGCCCGGAGCGCCCGGGAGGAGGGAGGAGCGGGGGGAGGGGAGGCCGCGGGTATTGGACTGGGGGTGGCGGGTGGCAAGGTTAGGGGGAGGGCGCGGGGAAAGGGGAGGGGTACCTCCGGGGCTGTTCGAGTGCCTCAATCTACGACAGGCAGGAGTCAAACTCCATGAATCACCAGGAGCTGGCGGAGCGATAAACCTCAGGCCTGCCCCTCCCCTCGCGCACCGGCTTTTCAGACTCCAGGAGGGAATGTTTGCTTAGCGGCGGGGGCTGGCGGTGGGGCCCTGGTTTTCTAGAACCTGCCTCCGTCCCGGTGCCTTGCCCTCGCTTGCAGGTCTGGGAAGTGTGCTGATCACTGAATTGTTTCCGTTCCTTTTAAATATTCAGAGGAAGGGTGCGTCCGGCTGCAAAGCTGAAGTTGAACCGTACTCTCTGCCTCCGTCCCGTTAACTCCGCCCTCGCCCCACGTCTCTGCGACCCTCCTGTGATCAGAGGGCGATCCCTGAGTGAGCCGCTGAGTCCCTCTGGCCTCTGACCTGTAGCTTTCATGAACAAGGCAGCTAATTAATGCTCAAAACAGTTTGCTAGGAGGGTTGCTCATTAGCATACGGGAAAAGCCCATTCCGAGCGCCTGGAAGGCGTGTTGGGGAAGTGGGTTGGAACCAGACGAGTTGTGGATCCAACCCACCGCCTCAGTTTGCTTTCAAGCTTCTGGAACTCCACCACAGGTACAGAGGCCTCTGCCAAGAAGGCAAGTCTTACCCTACCTCATTCCCTGCCCAGGCAGGGGCGAGGTTGGGGTATGGGGTGCCTGGCCACCCGTTGGGAGTTTAGGAAGAGGTCTGCCAGCCCTGAGCAGTAGGTAGCCATGGAAATGTAGGGCAGTTTTTGGAGAATGGTTCCCTTTTCACCCCACCTCACTTTGGGCCGGGATCTGCCTTCAAAACAAAGCAAGGCCCTCCGGGCAGATGACCTACCTGGCCCTTTCAGTCTCCAGGATCCCTGAGGCCCTCAGCTTGCGTCCCTTGGGCAGGGCCCAGCAGGATGTGGGGCAGCTAGACTGGAGGTCCAGATCTTGAGTAGCCCCCACCCCCCACGCGGTGAGTCAGATGGTGGGGGGTGGGTACTGCGACACAACCAGCCAGCGTCGGCTAGAAGAGAAATGTTGTGAGACGTGTGTTGATTTCCAGGAGTCCAGGTGCAAGGTCCTCTGCGCACATACACATACACCCATGGCCTTCCTCTAGTTTAATGACCCGTAGGCATATAAGCCTTTGTGAACTCCCGGTTTTCACCAAAAAATAACGCTTTGGGAAGCCATCCCTTGTGGACATTGCCCACCCACTATCCAGAGAGATCTGGGATTAATGGATTGTGGGAGCGTGTCTAGCTCCTCCCCTCCCCTAGAGTTTCTTCTGGGGAGAAACTTCTTCTAGAGCCACTTCATCCACCGGAACCTTCTTTCTCTGAGCTGCAGGAGTCTAAGGGGTCAGAAGCAGCTTTGGCACCTGCCACATGTGTGACCTGGGCAAGTCGCTGTATCTCCCTGGCACCCCGGCCCGCACTTTCCTCTCAGTGGGCATGATCACCTCTCCCGCACATCTCACTGTGACATCTAGATGAAGCCCAATCTAGAATGTTCCCCGCACAAGCCATGCTCTCACTGTTGCCCAGCGGCCAGCCTCTCCTTTCCTGATGCTTCCCCCTCTGAACCTTAGTCCTGTCAGCTAAAGGGGCCCAGACTCTTCTAGAAGCTGCGTCTCTGACCTTTCCATTCTGTTTTACAGGTATCAGAATAACCGTATGCTCTGGGCCTTCACCGCTGCTTTTCCTTCTTCTTCCAACATACTGTCCTTCTTGTGACCAACATTTTTACACAATCCGCCTTGCCTCAAATCTCAGCCCCAGGGTCCCTCTGTGAAGCTGTCCTCACCTTCCCCAGAAAGAACCCTGGGCTTTGCTCCTTTACCCACAGCTCACCATGCGTTCGTTGGTGTAGCATTACCCTCATGTACCTTCGTCAGGCTTGTTGTCTCCCCCACTAGGCTGTGGCTTCTGCGAGAGGGGGGCATGTCTCACTCATCTTGGGTCCCCAGTGGCTGGCCCAGAGTCTGTCACGTGGTAGCTCCATTGTTTCAAGGTCAGGACAGTAGCAGCAAGAATTGAGATGCCGCCCCTGGAGGATAGTCTGCAGCTGACCTTCCCCTCACAGCAGGAGCCTTGCAAACAGCCGTGCACCTGCCCTGCCCGCTAGCCTGGTGCCTTCTGAAGTCCACCTCCCCAGGGCCAGTCCTGGCTTGGCGCACCGGGTGGTCAGGGGAGGCTAGAGGTCAGCTATGCTCCTTAGAGAGGCTTCCGTTGGCCTGGCCCCAGTGAGGCAAGAACAGTCCCTCGCTGAGCTGAGGGTGGGGCTCTTGGCTCCCTGACAGGTGAGTCCCTGGAATCTTGTGCCAGGCAGCCGGGTGCCCCGCAACTGGCTGATAAACAGATTTGACTTCTTGCTCCCAGGCTCCATATTCACCGATTGCTGCCCCTGCTAACTATGTCTGGCTAAGTCTCCTTTTCTCTTAGGCTTGTAGGACTGGCGCTTGGGTTGTTTCTTTTTTTAAAAGGACCCAGGTACCAAGGTGACACCTTAAGAAGCAGGAAGCCAGGGTCCTGGGAGCAGGCAAGTTAAACACTAATTCACCACAACTGGCCGCCCATGGATGATCCCTCTGGAATTGTACCCGGAAGTGGGCTTTGGGCAGAGCCCGATGGAATGTCACCTGACGCCAAGCCCATCCACACTGGCCACAGATCTGCTTCTCCCTGTCTCCCCCTCCCTGTCCATGGCTCAGTGGCCACTAACCAACTCCCAGTGGCAGAGAGAACCAGTTTTCTGAACTGCCCAGGTCTGGAGAGTAGCCATCAACAGACAGTGAATCTAGGAACCAAGGTCAAAGCAGAGGGTCCCAGGATTCAGGCCCCGCAGCCCACTCACCTTTTCCGAAATCAAAAAAGAAATGTGTGTGCAGTGCCGCATCCGGATCCCCCTTCACCTTCAGGAAGGGTCTCCAGCCCCTGTATCTGAGAACATTTCAGGGACAGGATACCCTTTATCTACCAGCGGCTAAATGGCCCCAAACCGGTGACCTCACTTGCAGTCTTCCTACACACTCCCTGACACCTCCAGTCACCCCGCAAACCCCTGTCCTTTTGGGGACATTCCCTGCCTTTATGCTGCTACTCTGCTGACACCTTCCCTGGCTCCCACTGCCTTGAAGTAAAAGACGTGCTCGCTCAGCATTCAAGGCCTCTGCAACCTGCACTCAACTCGGACGCCAGCCTCATCCCCTCCTCTTCCCCACAGGAAATGGCCACTGTGGCCTGAGAGGTCAGCTCCCAGTCTGGCCAGCGGCCTTGCTTTCCTGTGGTTTTACTCAGGCCGCCCCCCCATCCTCAGTCCGGGGTGCTCCCTCTGGGCCTCCCCCTTCAAAGCCCTGTGCTCCTTGCAGAATGTTTTGCTGGGACCCCACCTGGGAGCTCCCCTAGAACTCCCCATCTAACACGAATTTGCTAATCTGCGATGCTCTGCATTGTTAATTGTATCTTCTGCATAAATATCTTGCCTCTCTAATTCCCGAGAGATCGACTTGGTGGGGAATGGATTCTGATTTGGTGTCTATCCTTCCCTGGAGCCCCTAGGATAGTGCTTTATACACACAATCCAAAAAGGCAATAAATACCAGCGGAATATTGGATTGATTGGCCAGCACCTGAGGGAGGCTGCCTTCTTGAAGAGAAAGGGCAGGCTCAGGGTTTAGCCTTGGCCTTGCTGCCGTCCTGAACCACATACTAAGATCCCTGGGTGCCTCTGTCCCAGAATTCCAGGCCACCAAGTTCAGAGCAAAGCTAGTACTGATATTGCAGTACTCAGGATAGCTTCCCCCTGTATAGCACTGTACTATTTCCAAGTGTCTTTTCTATATATTTGGTTCTTACAGCCTGATGAGTTCAATAAAGCCTACCTTATTGCCTCCATTTTACAGATTTAAAAACTGAGGCCAAGTCATGGATTAAAACCCATTTGTTTGAATGCCACTGGCCTTGAGCTTCTCTGTGCCACACTGCAGAGTGCTTCTGTCATCCCTCGTATGGCTCTTACTT